CTACAATGTATTTCAAATGCTCCAGAACCCTGAATATTGAATAAAAAATAAAACAATTGATTGATTAAATGGGAACAACAGTCATTACTTGATTAATTCCAATTAACTGAAATGTAACTGCATTCCAAAAAAGAATGCATCCACACTGAAAGACCTTTTTTCCATATTTAACCTAAAGTGGCCTGAATAATTTCCTCTTTCTTATGCTTTCTTATGTTCTTATATTGAAAATAGCAGCCAACAGATTTGACTGTCAATCTTAAAAACAAATCAAACTGATTTATCAGATTATTTACTAAAGAAGTCAATCCCAGCAGATTGCATTCTGTCTTTATCCCTGTTCTCTGGAAAGCTTGCCTCCCACCAGCTACTGTACAAGGTGAAGGTACTGTATAGAAAGGGTTATAAACAGGTAGAGTCCAATTAGTCTGTTGGTAGCTACTTGGTTCTCCAACCTAATAAAACAATTTTCTTTGGATATTCTAATTTACTAGCCTACCATAGGGTTTTGCTGCCCTGTCACCCTTTATGAGTGAATTGTTTAAATTTATTTTGTGTCTTCCACTCCTAGTCTCTCTGCTTAGCCTAAAATATACCTACTATATGCTGTATTCCATTTCACTTCAAATTCTCATGACTTAGTCAAAATCACCTGATTTTTCCTGTCCAAATACAATATAGCCTTTACAATGCCCTACCTACAGTCACAATTGCTCTTAAGCATAACACAGCAAGGCAGCAACTGTTTTGATACTACAGTTCAAGCTGTTTACTGTGCCAATATGCTCACCCATTCCATTTCAACAGTATTGCCCCTTAACGTATACCTGTCTTGTGTTTTATCTAGTGTCTAGGGAAATGCAAAACAAATGTTTTTATAATTAGGTTTTACTTCAATTCTGAGACATATTTCCACAGAAGAAGTCAATTTGACTAGAAAGTTAAGTCTTTAATTGGGGAGTTCAAAAGCAGTTTAAATAAATCCTGAACCAGATAAGACTGCTCATTTTTTTTTCAAATGTGTTTATTTTAGCCTAGTCACATTTCATGGTTCTTTCATCTGCTTTCTGGTTTTCAATAGAACTGTTACACTCGCTCAGCTGCCCTCCCAGTTCTGAAAAGCAGCAACTGGAGTAAAGAGTGATGTTCACAAATATTATCATCTTTCAATCTGTATTCAAGATGTGGGCACATAGTTTCTGGTCTACACTAGCATTCTAGCAACAACAAGCAAATGAAAAACAACTCCAGAAATGATCCATTTTAAATTAGGATGATACCTGATTATTCTGTTTTCTTTCACTAGGGGGAGCCCGTGCACTCCCAGACTCATTCAAATAACTTTTAAAACGCTTAACCATTTTGATTCTGCAAGTATTGAGCACTTATATTTAACTCTGCTTTTTCAGTCATATAAAGTAATACAATACATATTTTTTAAATCTACATTACCTCTTAATAAAGTTTGTATTTTATTAAAGTTTTCTCAAAATTAGACAAAAATATATTTTATGTGCAATACCCTTTAACAGTCCTTTTTATAAACATTATTATTCACTAATAAATCCAATCATTTGTCAGGGAAACTTTTCTGAATCTCTGTCTAGCTTTTTGTTTTGTATCCTTTCAATTACTGGTGTCTGGTGCAAATTAAAAAAAATCTGGTTACATTTCCCTTCATTGCAGTGTTTTTTCATTCATAACTAACATAAATATTTATGCATACAGCTGAATGGTACAGGTAATGGAAATATAAGAAACTAAGATTAAACTATTCTTCATCCTCTTTAATACTGCAATTATGAGGTCAGTTCTCCGGTGTATCAGGTAGACTTCAACTCATATGAATAGAAAGATGTGACCTACCCATAGAAAGTATACTGCTTTTGTCCTGTGTACAATTGCTAATGTGTATTTTTATTAGCCCAGTATTTCTAACAAGTATATCCAGTATATATCACAATATATCATGATGAAATACTTTAATGTCAGCTTGACTTAAAACAAAGAAATAGAAGCAAACCTAATAAAGAGGTTAGAACACACATTCAGGAGTATGCAACCCTGGTCTTTCAGTGCATGGACCATTTAATCAGCACCTCATTAGACCTGAAAACACAGGTGATTTGAATTCTCATTCACTTAATTGGTTAAATTAAGTCATTAATGTATGAGCTACAATGGGTACCAGAAACAAGCACAGTACTTGAAGAACAAAACTTAAAGAATGCTGATGATGTTAAGCTGATACTGTTATATCTAAATAGTGTAAGGACACATCATGAAAATGTATTGTTAGTAGCATTATTAGTAAAATAAGTATCAGTACTGTTGTATAGGGATTCTGATTGAATAACTAATAGATGCTTGATGTTTCAGTAAGTGCCGCACAAAGCTACCCCTTTGAAAACTTATTGCTTTGGATTGGTTAAAGATTTATCAGTGATATGATTCCAGTGTTTAATAGTGCTGTTTATCAGCAGTCTTACATTAGAGCCTCTGCCTGTTTGTAATCAAACTGCAGGAAACAGTAGCCATCTGACCTAAAATGCCGAAGTGGAGGTGGGGTGTTGGGAAGCACTGTACTTCTTACAGCCTGGAATAACCCTGTGAATGCTCACAGTTTAAAGCTATTTGTGCTGAATTTCATATCGTTGCTAGCAGAGCAACGAATAAGTCTATTTTTTTTATTCCTACTGAACCCTAAAATTTAGGAAATTAATTTTTAATCATACAACAGGATTCACAGTGATTTACTCTGCATATGAAAGAGGTAAAAATCTTTGAACCACACATGTTCAGTCATTTTTTTTATCATCTATACCTTTTAGCAAGTGAGAGAATTTAGGACAAATTCTCATTTACAGATGACAACCTTGAGACCTATTTATACAGAAGAACATTTACCGGAGCATCTGAGTGAAGTTCCTTATCAGAGATACAACAGCAGTTCCAAAATTTGGGAACATAACCCTCATATCCAAAGCCCTTACCACTACTCCATGCTGCTGCCTCTGAATTTTGTGAACAGTTCTACGTCAGAGAGGCAGGACCTGGGAATAATACAGATTTTAGAATGAACTGCATTAATAGCATTGACAGGGAAGAATATCCAAGTCCTGACAGATGTACCATTTAAAGGGTAATAGAAGACAAAAAAATCAATTCATGTATGTAATAATACAGTACATTTGCTTTTTAAGACAATCTAGCAAACAACATTTTCATGGCTTGCCACCAAAACTCTTAGTCATGAATGATCTGTCCATAGATTTATTCGTCAGGGTAACAAATCTGAGCAGATATTTATCATAGAAAAGGAAAAACGTGCATCCTAATTTGTATTGCTGAGTGGGAAAAGGTCTGACATTGGTTTTGTTTTATTTAGCCACTAGGGGGCAGGTACAGTCTATGGTTACAACGGTTACAGAAAATTCTTCTGCAAGACTGACAAAAAAATCCTTAACTGAGGGACTGCAGCGCATAAGGAAAATGTCACAATGAAAAATGAAAAAGAAGGACCATGAATCATTATCTGAATATATCCTAAACAGAAAATGTTTTATGTTCAAGACACACCTATCCACGATGTCAGCCACACGTTAACTAACGCTATAAAATATATTTTTCCTTATAGTCTTAAAATCATAGGCAAGAGGCAGCAGCAATTTCATCAGTCATCCTGCTGAAACCTTTAAGTGGCTCTTACCAATTGTGAGTGTAAAATGAACCCCACGAAACCGTTATTGATTGGCGGCCGCATTAATATTCACACGGAGCATAATCTCGTTTCTATTGATCACAGTTTACTTTTCTAAATAGTAGCTCCCTTCTGTGTGGTGGACGTGTTACTAGTTAAAATAACACGGTGTTGAGTTCTGTGTTGTGTTTTAAGTCCTTTTTTGTATTTATTATTATTATTATTATTATTATTATTATTATTATTATTATTATTATTATTATTATCGTTGTTGTTTTGATAGTATTATTTATTTATACATTTTACATTCATTCAAAATGAAACATAATGAAAATATTCCGTCTACTTCCCAGCTAATCAGAGCAAAAGGAAATATCTACATAGCATCTAAAAAACCCCGCAGTTGTACCGTTTCCTAAATAAAACGATTGTGTTCAATATAAATTATTTTTCCACGGTATTCATGTCCAACAATCTTTAAGTTTATAGCCAAACGCTAATTTAATTTTCCTGTTTCTTTGTAGAAGGGACCATTACATGCTTTCGGAAACAGTTGGTATTTACAGAAGGTTAGGGGGTTGGGCTGGGTCGGCTGGTGGTGTTCATCAAACGAGCGAGCAACAAGCTGTCTAAAAAGTAAGTCATTAAATGCATTCATTTTACTGTTGCACTCATGGAACCGAGGCATTTCCGGAAATATATTAAAGGGGATATCTTCACGACTAACATTGCATTTACGTTTCTTGCAGTGTTAGATTACCCATGCTATAAAATCAAACACTATAATGGTTATAGTACAGATTTGGGGATTTGCTAAATCACAAGACAGTGTGAGATTTAAACGTAACAGGTGAGATTTAAGCTTTTATAGAGAGGAGGTATTTTGCTGGAATATCACGAATTATAGCGACACCGGTACAAATGAAACACAAGAAAAAGATAATATAAATAAACATGTGAGCAGTTATTCCTAATGCCATCGATGATATTTAACTTTTTAATTTATGAAAAACGTATATATTTATTATTTTCCCCAATTGTAGGGCGCTGTTCTGCAATTTGGTCAGCTTTCTGTTTCCTTTTATCTCTGTTTGGCTATTAACTCTTCACTCAGACATGCGATTCAATGAATTGAACCCTGCAAGGTTACTAAATGACTTCTTTAGGATCTGTGACGAGCCTTAGTTGGCATTACAATTCCCCAATCAGGTGTAACCTCTGTGGGTGTCGTTGGTTACTATTGGCTGGTAGGTGGAGAGCGCTGCGCAAAAACAGAAAAGCTGGGCACTTGGAGCTCAGAAGTCTGCCAGCTGAGATCATAGCATCTGCGGCTGGGACAAGGAGATTATAAAGAAAAGTAAGATTTTAATTCATATATATATATGAAGTTCTTACTTAAGACGATTTTATGTGAAAGTTGCGCTCTGTAAAATCTCTCTCTCAAACTTAAAAGTTTTTTTTATTATTTTTACTCATAAAGGATATGAACAGTTGCTGCATTACAGTGTTTTCTCTGAAGCCAAAGCTCAGAAAACTCTGCATACCAAAATAACAGTTGAGGATCAAACGTCTCTAATTGTCAGCAAAGTCAAGTAGAAATGGTCGTTGGTTGGTAGGTGTAAAAGGAAGAAAATAACTGATGCGGGAATCCTTGCATTTTTTGTGTATCTCCGGGCAGAGGTGATGGAAAATTCCAATCAAAGACAGAAGATTTAAAATACAAGTGCACTTCTTATTTGGAGATGATTGTCTTATTTGTACTGTTCTGTATTGTGGATGGAGTGGTTTCCCAGATACGCTATTCTGTTCCAGAGGAGCAGGACCACGGCACGTTTGTGGGAAATATTGCTGAGGATTTGGGCTTGGACATAACAAAACTTTCATCTCGTAGATTTCAGACTGTGCCCAGTTCTAGGACTCCATACCTCGAAGTGAATCTGGAAAACGGAGTGCTTTTTGTGAATGAAAAAATCGATAGGGAACAGATCTGCAAACAGAGTGCTACCTGCCTTCTACACCTGGAGGTATTTTTAGAAAACCCGTTGGAGCTTTTCCGCGTGGAAATTGAAATAGTGGATATCAATGACAATCCCCCAGGCTTCCCCGAAACTGACATTACTGTTGAAATTTCGGAAAGTGCCACTCCTGGAACTCGCTTTCCGCTGGAAAGCGCATTCGACCCCGATGTTGGCACCAATGCGCTCCGCACTTACGAAATCACAACTAACAGCTATTTTTACCTTGATGTACAAACACAAGGAGATGGAAACAAGTTTGCTGAACTAGTACTGGAAAAGCCACTGGACAGGGAGCAGCAAGCAGTACACAGGTACGTACTAACAGCAGTAGATGGTGGTCTGCCTCAGAGGACTGGTACGGCGCTACTTGTCGTTAAAGTACTAGATTCCAATGATAATGTTCCAGTCTTTGACCAGTCGGTGTATACAGTCAGCCTACCTGAAAATTCGCCAGTGGGCACTTTGGTCATTCATTTAAATGCCACCGACATGGACGAGGGACAAAATGGAGAAATTGTGTATTCTTTTAGCAATCATATTTCCCCGAGAGTAAAGGATCTGTTTAATATTGACCCAAGAACTGGCAGGATTGAAGTGAGTGGGGAGGTCGACTATGAGGAGAGCAGTATGTATCAAATCTACGTGCAGGCGAAAGATCTTGGACCTAATGCTGTTCCAGCTCACTGTAAAGTTCTGGTCAAAGTGATAGACGTGAATGATAATGCCCCGGAGATCAGTTTCAGCACCGTGACCGAGTCAGTAAGCGAAAAGGCTGCCCCCGGCACTGTGATCGCCTTGCTCAGCGTTACCGACAAGGACTCCGGGGAAAATGGACAGATCCACTGCGAAATTCTCGGAGATGTACCTTTCAAACTCAAATCTTCTTTTAGGAACTATTACACCATTGTTACCGACGGACCACTGGACAGGGAAAATATTGATTCATACACAATCACAGTTGTGGCAAAAGATAAGGGTTCCCCGTCCCTTGCCACAAGCAAGTCCATTAAAGTGCAGGTGTCGGATGAAAATGACAATTCTCCAAGGTTTACGCAACCTATTTATGATGTTTATGTGACTGAAAATAATGTGCCAGGGGCTTACATTTATGCAGTAAGCGCCGTTGATCCTGACGTCGGGCAAAATGCTTATATTTCTTACTCCATATTGGAGTGCGACATACAGGGTATGTCTGTTTTTACTTATGTGTCAATCAACTCTGAAAACGGCTATCTATATGCTTTGAGATCTTTTGATTATGAACAATTAAGAGACTTCAGCTTTATGGTTCAAGCTAAAGACTCTGGTAGCCCCGAATTATCCTCCAATGCTACTGTTAATGTTATCATAGTGGATCAAAATGACAACGCACCTTCAGTCATCGCTCCGCTAGGCAAAAACGGCACAGCCAAAGAACATTTGCCCAGATCTGCAGAACCTGGCTATTTGGTGACCCGGATAGTTGCTATGGATGCAGACGATGGTGACAACGCGCGTCTGTCTTACAGTATATTAAGAGGCAATGAAATGGGAATGTTTCGTATGGACTGGAGGACTGGTGAGCTAAGGACTGCCAGAAGGGTCTCGAGTAAAAGAGATCCGCATCACCCTTATGACTTGTTGATTGAGGTGAGGGACCACGGACAACCACCTCTTTCATCTACAGCTAGTGTTGTCGTGATGATAGTAGACAGCGTTGTTGAAGGCCACAGTGGGGATCGTGGTTCCACAAAAACGAAAGAAAACTCCCTCGATTTGACTCTAATTCTTATCATCGCACTGGGCTCCGTGTCATTCATCTTCCTCTTGGCAATGATAGTACTGGCCATCCGATGTCAAAAGGACAAAAAAATGAACATATACACATGCTTGGCGAGTGATTGCTGTCTGTGCTGCAGTTCTTGCTGTAGCAGGCAGGCAAGGGCCAGAAAGAAAAAGCTTAGCAAGTCAGATATCATGCTGGTGCAGAGCGCTAATGTCACCAACACTGCCCAAGTCCCAGTAGAGGAATCCGGGAGCTTTGGTTCCCATCATCAAAACCAGAATTATTGCTACCAGGTATGTCTTACACCGGAATCTGCCAAAACTGATCTCATGTTCCTAAAGCCCTGTAGTCCATCTAGGAGCACAGACACAGACCATAATCCCTGTGGAGCCATAGTGACAGGTTATACTGACCAGCAGCCTGACATCTTATCTAACGGCAGCATTTTATCGAACGAGGTAAGATCGCTTATAATAATAATAAGAATAAGAATAATGTGATATTACGGGTGGCATAAAGTGGGATTAAATTTCCCCACTTGGAACATATTGTACTATACATATTTTACACATTTCTTGCACGTACATATTTATGTGTGCATGTGAGATTATGCGTGTATGTATACTTTTTACATATCTGTATGACTACGCATTTCTGCAGTTCATGTATTTTCTAGCGCTTTTGATTTTCCATTCGTATTGTAGTAGAATGCGGCTGAATTGTTGTATTATTGTATTTATCTGCTTTTTGAAGCCTATTAATACGCAATCAGTTCTATAATTGTTTAAAATCCTTTTTGCTATACAAATGCTCAAGTCTTACAGCTTTGATTATCGGCCATGCCGATATGACAGACTATCCACTTTTACCGAACTGCTTCAACATTTCACATAAAAAGTAGCCAGCAGCTTCTTAGTGGTTGCCTCCACAAGTTTTTTTACTACAAAATGATTCAAAACATTTTTTATGTATTTCAGTTAATTATACTTAAGATCTAAATATACATACGTAACTAATGTATACTGTATAGTGATTGTCAAATAAAAAACAAACATGCTCCTGTAGAGACGGGCAACGTCGCCACTGTTTGAATGTAAATTAAGTATGCTTAGCACGGTCCTGCAGTGTAACACAAGAACAAAGATTCGTCTATTGCACTTCTGTTTCTCTAATTCACTTCAACACATATTTGTAGTTACCAAGAGAGTCGTTTTAAAATAAACTCAAGACACGAATATCTCTCCCTGCATGAAAAACCGTTTATATGTCCTATGAAAAGTTAAATGTATGTTCACACTATGGTTGATTTCTGTACTCAATATGTTCATACTGTAGTTCATTTTTAATGTTGTTATCTGTATAATCACACTTGTATCTTTTAGACAAAGCACCAGAGAACTGAACTCAGTTACCTTGTTGATAGACCGCGGCGTGTTAACAGGTAAGCCTGTGAAATAAGACTGGTGTGCTGTCCATTAATGGAAAAAAAAAAACGAATTAAAACAGGAGCGAAATAAACACCAAAGCCGATTATATTAGGCGTTTTAAATTACGTATTACTCATCGGCTTTCTGCTTACAAACGGCGAATGTACCTTAAATAGATTAATAAACAACTTTGTAAAGGATGTTAATGTTTTTTTTTTAATTTCTCACTATAGCTATAGAGACCTAAAGCAAAATTGTTCTACCCCAAGTGTAACACCACGGGTGGCCGTTTGATGGCAGAACAATATTTAGTTTTTGTTGTTGTGCATTGCTTACTCTGATGCAGTCTGAGTCAAATTCTTCTATTTTCTATTTTTTTAGTTCTGCTTTCCAGGAAGCAGATATAGTGAGTTCTAAGGACAGTGGTCACGGTGATAGTGAGCAAGGAGACAGCGACCATGACGCCACCAATCGTGGCCATGCCTCTGGTACGTTTTTTTTTTAATAATATTGTTCTGTTTTATACAAACGTATTTTATGATATATACACACATCGGTGTGCACATATAGTATCTGCTGTAATATTAAATGTTTAAAAGTAGAATACTCAAATGCTGGTTGTGCTCAGCTAGTTAATTCCTTACAATGTTTGGGTATGTACTAATAATAACACGTGAAAAGCTATTTAAGGTTTTACATTGTGTTGTGCACCGTTTCTGTATGAAAAAAATACTTGCTTTTTGTGTTTCCTACTTTATTTTTAAGCGTAAGGCATATATTCCAACACAAGCAGATCTGCTGTTTTTGCAGTCACACTTGCAGATGTATTTTTTTTTTCAGTCAGCCTTACTGTACACATTCCGACTCCCTAAAATATGGAATGGTTATTTATTTTCGAAGTTTGACCAACAATCACGGAAATGCGTACACCGTCCCAATATGAAAATAAGCAATAAACACACTACTAATAAAGGCAATGAATATATGTAAAGATTACGTTTGCTTTGACAAAGGCTGTCTAATTTCTCGTTACTTTATAATGGGAAACACTTTTAAAATAATAGACCCACTGAATGGATTAGTTAATTTAATTCTGCTGTTTATAAATATGCAGCCTTAATGAGGTCTTTTGGATGGCCATTAGCTTTCAACTACTTGAGAGACGTGACGGAATTTGGAGCAGAATTGATTTGCTATTTAGGGTCTGGGAAGTAGATAAACTGGGTTGTGCCAAGTTCTGCATTTAAACAAATACTCAATTCATAAACTGTGTGCAGAAATATCATGTGTCTTTTTTTTAGGTGCTTATTGAACAGGCTGTATTTTGGATGTGCTACATGCATACGTTTTTTAAAAACATTCAGTTGTACCAAATCTGGATACTATTTTAGTCGCTATTACAGTCAGTAATACACCTACACACTATACTAGCATTAGAGAACAGCGTGCCCAAACTAAGCACAGCCTTTTATATAATTTTATGTGTTACAGAATTTTTCAAGGACGTTACAGAGAATAGGAAAGGAGAATAAGAAAATATACGGTAATGCATGTGGGGAAAACAAAACTAGAGATAAAAAAAAAACAAATTAAGAGATTAAAATTTGTTTTAAAGTGCACTGTATGTGACTTTACTAGCTAGTCATCCACATTCACTTCTGTTAAAAAGTTTTTTTGTATTCAAAACAATGTATACAGTATGTAATTATATAGTGTATATTGGTATTTATAAATAGAGATTCCAATATTATATGAAATGTATGGCTGGTAAGAGTATTTAAAACTATTCACTACATTCTCTATACATAGTATAATATACATAATATAATTTCAACATAAATTAAATTCTTAAGTTTTCTAATTATCTCAGAATGCTAGGGTGTCACAAGGGCAACATTGAATTATAATTTCTTTGTTTAACCACAAATGCCCACTGCAAATGTTTATCTTATGCATTTACTTTGAAGTCACCATTGAGGCACATCTATGTAAAACTGCATTCTTCCATGGCCGGAAGTAGCCATTCATTTGCCTGTTGTGCATAGGCTACATAGAGTATACCTATGGCACAGATCATATTATTATAACTGGACTGTAAAATCAAAATGAAATACATGAGATGTATTGTTTTCAGTCATTTTCCATTTATACCACTATAAATTATATGAGGTGAAAAGAAATACCTTAAATGTTATTCTGCCATCAACACACTTAATTTCTCCTAACCGACACGAAGGGTAGTTACAAATACATTTGCTTAGCATCTTCTAATCTTATGATTTTTGCAGCACAAAAGGATAGAAAAGGGGAAAACTTCATTTCACTCAAACAACTGGATGTTACATTATTACTTTTATAGGACACTGCAAAAAATGCTGCTTTTTAGAAGTTGTTCTCAATGAGAAATACTTAATAGAAGATACATTGTTGTAAGACAGCAAAAATATATTTAAAAAGTTTTCTTTCAAGTTTGCAATAGTACCTTTCTTATTTCCATAACTTCTTTTAGTAAAGTTCCTGCTATATGGGATTTTTCGGCTTATCTTGTTGTTACACATGCTATCACACAGAGTATGTTCTGCCATGGTGAGATGTAAACTGTGACTAACTGACCTCAGAAATGGATTGAACACAGCAGGGCTCAAATTCGGATTTGTTACTGACTGCTGATTTCAGATTATTTTTTTATTGAAAAGTAATCAGCCATGAACAGACACCTCAGACAACAGAAGAATGGAAGTCAGGTCTATAGATCGTACCCTGCAGTTGAGCGGAAGACTTTTTTTACATTTACTCATGTCTTTTACTGGGGAGGCCATGGTGTCCACTAGTACAATCTATTAGACACATAGATTTCAAGTTCTATTATAATAATACGTTTATAATTTTGTACTGCAAGATTATTTTTTACCAACATTGTAATGTTAACTTTTTGTAAACAAATATTAAAAGAGCAATCTAAAATATTTTAAGAGACAAATTGTGTTATTGATGTTGTCGTCATGATCCATACAGCTGAAAGAGTTTCAGAAAAAGGGTCTTAAGAACTTTAAGGTACAGAGGGAGATAATGTGGATCCTGCTGATCCAAAACCATTTTATATTGTTATTCAGTAGTTTATGCAGCATGTTAAACTTTGCTGTAGAGTATAATTTAATTTCTTATAGTATGCATTAAACAAATATTATGAATAATATGAATCTTTCCATTTTTTTTCTAGACTGAATTCCAAGAATTCATATAGTTGGAATTTTCTGATGTTTATATTTATGTGACATTTTGACAAGTACATGTTAGATGCCAGGAATTTGGGATTACATTTAGTCGCAACATCCTTTTTATTTTTATTTTAATTTTTTATAAGGGTGAACAAACATTACACTGTGTTGAATTGCTTATGTGAGCTTGCATGTGAGTTTGTCTGTATACTTAACAATGACATCTTGTTTGGTTTGTAACAGCTTCCTCATATCTAAGGTTTCAGAGCTTTAGTGTTTGGATAGCACAGTAAAACAAGCTGCACTGTTCTCAGAAGTATTGTGGAAGTATTTGTAGTCTCTGCTGGGCCCTGTGATCCTTTATTCTGTCTTCAGTTCACGTTAGCACTCTGTAACAGCTCACTGATCAGTAATTTATTTTCAGACCTCTGCATACCAATTATCAAATGAAGGTTATTATCAAGGCTTGGGTTTGCAATGCTTAAATTTCTTTCTGAATTTTAAAATAAAGAAGCCATTTTAAGGAGGATTAGCTTTTACATTCCGCCCTCTTTCCATCTTCTCGCTTGAATAAGCTGCAAGGCCTGTTAAAAGTGGAGTACAGAAGTTCTAACTGAGAAGTATAAACTGTGGAGTGAAGTGTTTTGTCAGAAACTGATTAAAACCGAGGGCTTGAGTTGTGTCCATTAGATTTGTTTACCCAGTGCTTACCTCCTCCAAGTTCTAAAATATTTGGAATCTAGATGTTTTAACTTTTTAAAACATTTAAGAGATGATAATTACATTTAATTTGATTGTATATTGTGGGCATTCATATACTGTATATATCTTTTGCATGTGTGTAAGAAGGGTGGAAAACATAATAATTATAATATATGCATATTCATTATGATGTATAAATTATATATTTGCAAATTTGTATTACAATTATAATTTCTTAAATGCCTTTATAAATATCGCAGACTAGTTTTCAGTATTCTGTACAGTTTGGATTTTTTATTTGTATTTTGTTACTTGCTCAAAGGTCTTAACATATTCTATTTACTAATCAACCTCTCTTTAGATTATACTGATATTTAGATTTCTGCATATTAACCAGTATCAAAAGGGAAGATCCATCTGGACGGAGTTTTGTATTGCTATGGGGCACAAAATTATAGCTCCCACTCATTCTGTTTGAAGGAAGACATATGTAGTAGGTGCAGTTGAAGTGAGCCTCTTGTAATGTTCATGTTTTCTTGTTTGGAAGAATACTTTGGTCTATTATTAAAGCAAAGTGTTAAATGAAAATAGTCTTTGTTTACATGAGTTTGTGTATTTGTCCCTAGAAATAAATATCAAAATCTTTACTTTGTAAATATGGGGTCAAACATATTTTTTGAATCACTTCAGCAAATGTAATTCAATAATATTTTTTTTCCGAGAGACCACCTGAACTGAGAGCCATTATCAATATATATTAGATATTTAAAATTATTATTTACCTTCACTTTTTATTGAAATTACTTTGCTGTTTGACAGCTTAGTCTAGTTTGCAAAAACACACATGAGACTTATTTTTTACATTAAAATGGAAAGCTTTTGTTGACCTCCTTTGTTTATTTAAATATTAATCTACAAACACATTTTAACATATGTCAATAACATGTCAATTATTGTCTCCCTTAACATTTTCCTGTATTTTCCATTTTCCTGTTAATCATGGCTTCATGATTAAACCAGTTGCTTCAGAATTTGCTTAAAGGAAACAACAAGCTATGTTACAATGATAATTGCAATTTACTGTCTACATATTATACTATTAAGTGGCATTTAATTTGGTTTCATCAGATTAGCCTTAGTATGATTGTGCTGTATTTTTGTGTTTGACTTTTAGTTGAAATATTTGATTCCAACCACCTGCTTCGTTTGGCAGATTCTTACCAATTTTAATGACAAAAGGCTGTACATTATTTACAATTTTCTATTTTTTAACTGCCTTGTTCATCCCACTTAAAAAATACAACACTTCTAAATACCAGAGAGCAGTGTTTAAAAGATTATATAATTATGTTCTTCATACTGAGCCAAATGGAATGCTGAGTTATTTTAATTTTGGAGTCCTTAGCTGTCAGTATTTGAAACTTTTGTTGAACTTTTTAGAAGAGAATATCTACAATACCTCCTTGATCTCACTCTGACTCACAACATATTTGACCTTTTACTCCTTTTATCATAACACTGCCATGAAAACAGGGTATGAGGTTGATCAGCAGGACAGTCTTGTAACTAGCTTCTTTGATCTGCACTAGAAAAGCTCCTGCCATGAGGAATTAGAGATTAGAGATGTGATTCCACCTTCCTTTCTTTATGTCTTTACATTTGCTTTGATCAAAATGTTTTAACATATAATTTTCACCGTCAACCCACCTGACACCCAATCTGCCAATGATTATGGTTGCCAAAGGGGTTTATTATGCCACCGAATTTGTGTTTATTCCGTTTACTTATAATCTTTATTTTTTACATCTGTGTTGCATTTTAAACAGTTGTCTTCTGAGCAAAGGGTTTGAATAGGTCCTGCATTGAAATGTGCTAGGTGACATGGAATTAATAGTGAAAGAAAATATTTATTTAGAATTCTTAATCAAACAAGTTTGTGCAAGGCTAGAATGTGTCCATTATCCATGTAAATAGCAAAGTAATACTAATACCACTAATAATGTCCTATGTGCGAGGGAAATGTGTCCTTTGCAAGACATCTTTGCTGATTTATTTTCCCTCCTCATTTTTAATATTGTTCTAGGTGCTGATCTTTTTTCAAATTGCACAGAAGAGTGCAAAGCCCTAGGGCACTCAGATCGATGCTGGATGCCCTCCTTTGTGCCATCCGATGGCCGCCAGGCTGCAGATTATCGTAGCAATCTGCATGTTCCAGGAATGGACTCTGTGCCAGACACTGAGGTATTTGAAACTCAAGAGCAAACTGGGGAGAGATCTTTCTCCACCTTTGGCAAAGAGAAGTCACATCACGGCACGCTAGAGAGGAAAGAGTTTGATGCACTTCTGTCTAGCACACGTGCGCCTTACAAACCACCTTATTTGTGTGAGTATTAGTAATTAATTTCAATCAGATCCAATGCAACAAAAATCTTGAATGGCTGGAAGTGCCATTAAATTCTTTTCGCTATAATTAATCTTTCCATTTCCTAAAACTAATTGCTGTCCAGATAAAAGTCCTTCTGATCTTTCTTTCTCTTTTTCTGTCTTTCAAATATATTCCATAACTCAAGTGTTTCCATTGTTTTGTGTGTTTAATTATGACAAAATATATAAATTGGCTGTACAATTTATAAATAAAGATTAGATTAGCAATTTTACATAATAAGTCTGTTGTGACTTGTCATTGGAATAATATGGTTTACTACTGTTCATCCCTCTACCTACCCAGGTTTTTCTTTGAAATAATCATGGATGTTGCATCTTGAAAATCCCTGATGCATCCTCACTTAAAATAAAACTGTTTTAGCCCCTTTATCTAACTTATTAAAATAAATCAAACCAGGGGATTGTCTTTTCCTGTCCCTGGGAAGTGGATTGCATTTAATTTATACATTGAATTTTAACATTCCAAAAGATTATAAAGAGTCATTCAACTGAAAAAAAATACCAGTCCTTGAAATTGCTTTAAAGTTTGTGAAGAAGAATTTAAAAATAGAGCATGGCATTTCTTCAGCATTATTTATCTGTTATCTGCCTGTTTAAGGAAAATTGATTATGACAGCGTTTACTTAACTATTTTTTTCTAAAAGTGTAAAGTTGACACTTGTTCTATGGAGGTTTTCAGTTGAAAACTGAATAACTATTACCTAGAATAACTTTGAAAAAAAGTCACAACTAAAAACGCAGAAGATACATATTGACATCCATATATAGGTCTTTGCAGCCGCTTCTTATTAACCAACAGTACTGGTTTCATTTTTCATCTGTTGCATTAGGTTAACTGCTGATAGAGATGTGTCAAGCAGTTAAGATGGAAGGGGAAAACTGACTTAATTTTCTTATGTTTGTAATCCAGTTATGTGCAGCAAAGTTAAACAATTACCCAGTGTAGCTCACTTAAATTAAATGAGCATGCAATATCTATGCTAATAACATTTCCCAAAGGTAATAATCAAATGTTGTTCTGCATGATATTTGACTAATTTAACAGTGTGCCTTCATTTGTACAATTTCCACTAAGTAGAACGTAGATAAATAATTGCTAGAGCATCATTCCCCCCGACTGTTTAAATACGTTCTACAGACACGTTATTTCTTTTTACTTTTATGTGAACTCAAGGTTAAGTCTTTAATCAGACTTCTTCTTAATGAGTGCGTTTTCTTTGCTTACAGCGCGGAAAAGGATTTGCTAGTCCCTTTCGCGTGGACATACCCGAGACAGCATGAATTTGCACAATAGCCGACCAACACAAGCATCAAGTTTTCAACTTCATTATCTTGGCTGTCCGGTTGTACGTAACCTTTGGATTATTTTTCCCTGGGGGACAGAAAAAAGTGATGGCCAAGAGTAGGACCTTATTGCTCTCAGCAGGCCTGAGAAATGAGTTGAAATGGAACTATAAAAAAACTTAGGGGTGAAGATCCTCACCTCTTTATCTGTGTGTGCCTGTTTACAGCACTATGTATATCTTAAATTGTCACTGAGCCCTTTAGATGTTTATACTCACACCAAGAAGCCAATTGTACAGAAAATATTTGTGCATTATAAATGCAATATCACTGTTTTAGACTTGACTGTTTTATATTATTTTTGTGTGGTCAGGTGTTCCCGAATTTACTCCAACTTTATAAGAAAGATTGTGATCATGTTTTTTTCACTAGTGGGTCAGGACAGCTGTGGCCTACAACTTAATCAGAGACATTCTGTAGTTTATATCATGTGTGCGAAGTGTTTACTGTACTATTTCAAAGCTTCTAAATAAATATAAATCTCTCTATATATAAATATATACTTTTCTGAAAGTGTGGTATCCATTGGTCAGTTTCTTATCCAATTTAGAGTTTCATTAACTGACATTCAGTGCTATAGGCATATGCAGGTACAGGAAGGTCATGCTGGAAGGCCTTATTTTCACTCCCACCAAACTTTGTTTTTCACTTTTGGAATATGGAAATTTATGTCTATAAATAAAGGAGAGTAATAATTTAGATTTTAAATCATGGTAATTCTGTGTTACTGTAACCAAAAATAAATGGGCAATTAGAAAAAGCTAAATATCAAAGGTATACATACATTCAAACACACACACATAAATGCCAAGAGGTGATTAATAAACAGATAAATGCAGAATATTATGGCTTGTGTTGTTTTTTTTACATAATTGTTCTGTAGAAACACAATTTAGATTTAAATATGCTTACGTCTTGATTTACCTAATTTGATGTTATAGTCTGCCATTTGCGACTGCCCTCTGAATGTATCTATCAACTCTTAAATATTAAATTAACATTTATATGAAGGTAGTAAACATCAAACACATCTATGTTTTTAGTTGCTTTTGAAATTTGATTTTTTTTTGTTTCTGGGGTAGGATTGCACCATGACCTTGTTACTGAAGGTAACTAAAATTGTACATATTGCTATTCTGAATCATCAATCACGTTCAACTCAGGTTTTTGGCCTACTGAAGGTAATAACATAAATAAGTAATAGGTTTATTCCATGCTGAAAAAAAGAAGAGAGAAAACACAACGTTTCAGCCGTGGAGCCTTCTTCAGGTGTGAGCTTGCAATCAATCCAAAATTCAGTCTTATTTTTCAAGAAATATATTCAGTGAATTCAAATAATTAAATCTATCAGTGCATTTAAATCACACCTGAAGAAGGCTCCACGGCTGAAAACGTTGTGTTTTCTATCTTCTTTTTTTCAGCATGGAATAAACCTATTACTTGTTACTTTGTAGCCTACGCATGCTGACACGGCTACCCACCTGAACAATAAGATAAATAGTCTGGAGCAGGTTGGCTATCAATTTGTCTTCCATATATATCCATACAGGAAGGCCAGAGATCACTTGAAATATGACCATCTAGTATTAATTGTAGTGCTAGCTAAACAAAATGATTTTGTAGCAGAAAAGAAAACAAGAATCGTATGTTACATTCAATGCACATCAGCCAAACTACAAAATCAAGATGAGACAGAAGCTTGTGAAAGCATATTTATGTAAAAGAGACATTTTTATAATTTAGACAAACATTCTCCATTTTTAAAAGTTTCGTTTTTTTTCTGTCTTAAAGTGCAAAATAGTGATATCTGGGAAACAAGAAAAAGTATAATGCAGAGAAGACCAAATAACTATTATGACACAAGCACTACAACAGCTGGTTCTTAGTTACTGTTGGATAAAACTTTGCAGATGAATCTCTTTTTCTATATTACACCCAATCAATCCAAAATTCAGTCTTATTTTTCAAGAAATATGTTCAGTGAATTCAAATAATAAAACCTATCAGTGCATTTAAATCATTTACATTATTTTTTTGTTATGATGAATAATTGCAATAGAAGAAAGTACTCATTGACTTTATCTAGGTCATGATAATTTTTCATTTATAATTCACTAATTTTTCATTAACAATGTATTATGCTAAATACATAATCAATTTTATGAAATGTTAACACACATTTGACTTATTTCATAACACTGCTTAGAAAAACCTATCTAATTAAAAAAGTAAAAAGCAACACTATATATTAAACCAATTATTCATTGACCAACTGAATTATTGAATAAAACTGAATTATTATTTTGGCAGACCACTGAGCATTTTGTTAAAAGCGATTAAAATATATTTCTTAGATCATGGTATGTTGTGTTTTTATAAATTATTTTTCCAGTCTTAATGTTGGTTTTCTAAGGAAAGTATAATGTTCTCTGAAATGTTCTCTGAAATGTGGAATGACCTACTTATGAAATTAACTTCATTAGGGAAAAGGATTGTTAGGTAATGTATTTCCTGTCGAATATGATGTTTCTTCGTAACTTTAAGTCCTTGAGAAACACCCACAGGAAAATTGAGATTAAACTTTTGAAAATAATTTAATTTTCAGATGGACTTTAAGTTAATGTAAGAATGTATCCATAAAAGAACCTCCTACATGTGACCTCAACACCAATATTAATTTTGGTCTTGCAGACAATTCAGCCACAAGTAATACTATTCACGTGTAGTAATGCACAAGAGGAACTAAATTAGGAAATCATTAAAGCATAATGAAAGATAATTTAAGAATAAAATAAATTACTTACAATTCCCAAAACAAGGCTTTGATTTTCAAAATTTTAAAAAAAGAATTGCATGAATATTATATTTTTACATCACGTATTAACCATTTCAGAGATGAAAAAAAACATTTTTTTGCAAATAGGACAATGAAAATAAAGTTTTATTTTGATGGGCTTATGCAAGAAAGGGAAAATGTAGAGTACATTTTCTATCACAATATACTTCATTTATGAAGCATTATTTAAAGAATTACAAAGAAGTTCATGGTACTAAAGAAACTCATGTTTAACTAAATGTGATGTAGATTACATTTAGGAATGTCATGTAGATTTGTGTTTCTTAGCAAATTATATATTGGAATACCACCCAAAAAAAAAGATTTCTTGAAGACTGCAGGGAAAGTAAGAACAGTTCATACAATATATATCACAAAATGTTTGACATTAACTGTCTGCAATTTTTAAAGTTAAAGTTAAAAACCTAAAGCATTTACAATTTAGATATTTATATTAAATGTCCTGCTCGTATGAAGTTTGAGTTTGTGAATTTGTGAAAAAGAATCTTACCATGTCGTTCTTAGATAGCAGCACTACAGAGAACATTCTTGAATATGTTATCTTTGCTTTGTTCTTAAAATACATTCCAGACCTGAGAATGCAGTGTGAGAACATACTTTGGCATTTAAGTAAATCTGTGGTGAAAAAAATTGGGCTAAGTAACAAAGCAAAAAAAAACAAGGCAAGGTGTTAGTGATCATTTCATTTGCTTTGTGCAAGTGTGTGTATGTAAAGAAGGGAGGGAAAAAGAGATAGGAAACAATTGAAATACCACACCAAGCCACCAATGGCAGATGCTTGTGCACTACATTAATTGTTATTAAACTATTATTTCAGTTGATGAATAAACCCAGTTGTTAACCCAAAGAACAGAATAGTACGAAACAAGTTAATAATTCATATGTAACAGTTTCTAATAAAGGGACCTGTGTTACAAAAAAAGGAAAGAAAAACCACCATATAATAAATGGGGATAAATACTGTAACACATATTGCACAAAACAAAAGTCCAATATTACAATCCCAAAGATAGGTTTTTAAATGTTATCTGCATCTACTGTAGCATTCTATTAGTAAGATCATCTCAGTGAGCTCTGGAATTCATATCCGCTACATAATTAAATTACTTTTCTCGATTCTGCACAAAGGCAATTGATAACCAAGAGTGCAAATTCCTATAGGGTGGCTATTCTTCCACAAGGAAATTGCTAGCTTTTTCATACACAGATGTGCTAATGTTAGTGAATAATTTTCCAATTAGGCAACAATAATTGACTCAGCCAAACAAACTAGGACCAATATCTGTAAGTAAGAAAAAAAAAATCTTTTAAATTTTTTAAAAAATTTATACTTATGGGACCTGAGCACCAAATAAATACCCTTTCTGTATATTAAAATGGTTCTTCATTAACTGAAATTGAATTATTTATTAGTTATTGTGATACAATTATCAGCCTTTTAGAAAAAACAAAACAAAATATATCTTAGCCACTTTACTTAGTTTACTTTACACTTACTGTAGAGGAGAGATTTTATTCAAGAAAGTGCAAAATATAAGCAAAACAAAGATGTTGCTTCTGAAAATTTTAAATACGATCGCACAAGCTTAGTTTTATCAGAGTGCAGAATGTACATTTTCCAGTACAAGTATTCCCCTAAACATAGTTGCATTGTGAGTGAAACATTGGCAAAATGTGGTGACCAGTGCCTCCATACACTGTCTGGCTTCTGTATGAAAGACCCAGTTCTTTTGTTGGAGAAGCAACATATCTTCCTACTCATCATGTTACCTACAGGGGGTCATTTATCTGTTAAAGCAGTGCAGCATGGAACACACAGCTGCTGTCCTCCACTTACAATGCTGAACATGGTTTTCAACAAGACTGCAAAGTGAAAACCTGCGGGAAGTCAGATACTCTATGGTAACTAAGCGTATCGTATCATAATGATTTTATTTTGGAATCTTTATTTTTAATTTGTGCAGCATAACAGTAAACAGTTCTGCAAAATTAAGCCTTTTTTTTACTTGAGATTATTTTTCTTAAGTAAGTTTTTTTGGGGTGACAAAAAAAGTTTCTCACGATATTTTATACTTTTATCCACCTTTGTTATTCTGTTAAACATTCAAACTTAAGATTTTCAGCTGTATTTGAAAACACCAATTTTAAATACTTGGGAGTTTAAATACCAAGTTTAAAATTTGCGATCCTCAAATAGTGGATATATAGTACAAGTTGAGTGTAACAACTATTAATTCTTGATATGAGTCATTACAATAGTTTCATAAGAAACCAAACTTTTATATAAACATATATCAATGAAAATCAAGAAGTCATACTGGCTTGGAATAACATAATGCAACAAAACTAGAGAATAATGCAACCTAAACCTAGAGAATAATACAACCTTCTACTTTCTGACTCATCTTGCCAAAGTACTTCTTTGTCTCATTTTTTTTTAATTAGACCTTAGTTAGAATTGTTGAACCCTTGATATAATCATTTATTTGACTTATGTTAGACCTTAATTAAAAAAATAAAAATAAACCGGTACCATTCTAAATGCTTTAGTTGCTCGGCATGCAGAATGTACTTTTTTAATACATATGTTTCTGGCAACAAAGATGCATTATAGGCACTTAGGTGTACCATACACATCTGGCTAATTGTATTGATTATTATTAATTGATTATGTACTGAAACAGATGGAAATGTTGTATCAGACATTCACATAATAACCTGTCTTAGCAGCATAGGGATAAATTAGTTATATTTAATGTGGTTACTTATACAGCAGTCCTGAATAAAAAGGAGTTCTGAAACCTAGTATCTCTCATAATGTTCAAGCTATTTTCAATTCATGTCTTAGTATTGAAGATAAAGTAATTTTTTTAACAACAAATACGGCACATAAAAATGTCCTCAAAACCCAATACACAAAATGTTCTGTATTAGATTTAAGAAATTAGATTTACTTCCTGTGGCATCAATAATCAAAAAACAAG